TCTTTGACTATCCTTGATTAAAACTAGATATAAATCCCAACTTTTCTATTACATTACATAGTTCTTTTATCTGCATACATAGTAGTTACTGGCTGCACATGTTACAATCATCAATATAATTTCATATGACTAATAAGTGTTCAGTCCTGTTCTGTTCTGAGTACGCATTATGTATGATTTATATTGTTGCTTAAAATATCAAATATGATTCAGAGAATGTATGCAGCTGTAGAATTCTCAAATATTTGCCACATAGGGCAATACTCACACTACAAAGACACTGGAAGCCCACCACCTATTTTTCAGAGGATTTTTCCTCCATAACTGGTACATGCGGTGCACAAACGAAACAGAAATCACACCTGCAAAATTGTAAGACATCAAATATATGATAAAGCAGTAATATGTAAATTTCCAATAGGCAACAAGGAGGTGATGCACTCCTCCTTGTTGTCGTGGCAGGAGGCTGATTTTTCACTATCCTACATACTTTTTTTGTATTCAAAATCAAATTTTCATTAGAACATTTATATTGTTATGAAGCACAACAACTTTGCAAGGAGCACTATTTATCATTTAAATCCAGTATATTCAGATTATCTAAGAATGAGACAGGCTCATATTCAGAGACACTTGGGACACCTTAGACCAGGAGTATCAACAACAGGCCAATTTTCCCTTCAGCTATCATCTTGAGGGCCAACAAAGGTTCATACCTGGCTTCTAAGGATTATGTTACTAAAACTAGTACTATGTACATGTACGTAAAGTTTAGATTTTAAATGGTAATACACAAATGGTAACAAATTGTATATGATGTTACTTTCCTTCATGGCAATCATAATTTCACAGGCTATTAGGGGACACAGTCAGACCATGAACCATGAGTATGACACCACTGGGTTATTTCATTCATTACAGAAATACAATAATAGAAAAAAATAAGACTACTGGCTTAATCAATCAAGTAAAAGGGCCACCCATTAGGCTGAAATAGCAAATGTGCCACAGGTTACGTTTTTGACACCTTTGGCTTAGACAGAGAGCCGGACCAGCTTCTTGCACTTGTCAGCCAATTACTGTTGGCTATGGCAAAGAACAGCTCAAGATGCTTGGCTGACAGGCACAAGACACAAGTCTGGCTCTCCATCTAAGGTTTCCTTAAATGTCTCTGATGAGTGTTAATCTTATAATAATGGCTTTTATCCATCATCATCAGGCACTGAGTGCAGTCAGTTACTCAAGTAAATTAGAAATACAGGAAACATGTATTCCCTGCTGCAGGATATATTTTTTTTCAAAGAGACTTTAAGCCTACTTTTGAGGGCTGTACCTCCTAACTGACTGCATGCAAGGCCAAACAACCAAATACCTCTATAGTGCACACAACATAGAGGAAGTCACCAGAGTCAACAAGCATATGGGCTTTGGGCATCATTGCATCATTGCAAAATACCACTTGGTGTGAATGGGTTATTAAGATAATTAAGGCATTGAAATATCAACTGATTACTTACAAAAGTAAAGAACAATGAGAAAAGCTACACCATTCTGTACTGCGTTAAGGGAATCTAAGTACTGATCGCCCCATCCCTTCCATGAGCTCTGCTCCTCACGCTTTGTACTGAAAATAAACAGAAGAGGATATCATTTGCTATAATCTGATGCTTGTTGTAATCCTTAACAAGGTTTGCCAAAGCTCTTTACATTAATGAATTCAGTTCCATGTTCATAGCTGTACTAGTAGTTTGCATTTTCCACTATGTATCTAATAGTAAATATGGAAAACAAACTATAAACATAAAAAGAGGTGGAAGTTATCCCACTATCGGGATACAACCTAATAATCTATTTTCTATTCACTAATATTTTATGTACAATGGAGAAATTGATAGAATCTCACACATATGATGCAAGAAATAAATAGCCTCTAAATATTAATAAAACCAGTATGTGCATCTTTTAACTTACTTGTTTATATAACCATATACAAGAGGAAATGAAATACTCGTCTTATGTGTGGTACCTGTTAATATAAATTTTAGGAACTTCATCCGGATAAATGTAAGTGCAGGAGGTATTGTGATGGCTAGCTATATCTCTGCAGAAGCTCTCAAGTGTCAATCCACCGCACAACAAAATTACCGCCACAGAGGGAACAAACTTGCAGATGTAATATAAGAACACATAACGGACCATCTGGAGAAAGTCAAAAGTAAATTACATTTTGTACAGAAATTACTTTTCATACACAAAAAAGTACATTTTTTCTCATACATAAATTACATATCCAGACCAACAGATTCTGTTTACATAAATCTATTACACGTAGTAATGTGATATATTCATTCGTTTTCACATACAAATGAATATACACACACATGGAAACTGTACCTGTTTATTAAGCACAACAGAATTTTTCCCTGTGGCCTGATTCATGACGGCAGGGTTTGTCGGAGCGGCAACGAGAGAAACTGACAAGATGGGAATCACGACACACACCAGCCATACAATGTCACCTAAAATAAAACAAAAACAAACATTGCCTTTAATTTCAAAAACTAAAATATATAAATTTGAATAGCTTTATGTTTATAAATACATGTAAACATAAATTCCATTAGTACAAAAATACTCTTTAGCAAACTTAGGATCACACAGATATTAAACTCCATATAAATCAGACTAGTTTTTGCACTGTGAGCTTTTCAAGTAAAATTCTTCACTAGGGATGTTTGTATAATAACCCAGTGCCATTAGGAAAATGTAATGTTCACTGTCCTGTTTTGCGAAATGTGAGCGTTCAACCACCAAGGAGTCAATTCTTGAACTCGCCTGACTTCCACTTTCCTTGCATTTTCGTGAAGAAAGTTCTTTTACCTAATCCTATTAACATTGATGCTGTTAATATCATAGTATCCACTATAATCATTAAAACATTAACATTACTGATAGCAATATAAGAGATGAAAGAGAATGTTTCTGGAAATCATAGAAAAGGCCAAATAGGTGAGATAGATAGTACTAGTAATTGACTCCTTGGTGACTAAGTTTTTGTGGAGACAATCTATGTGTATATATAATTAATGAACTAAGCTTTAAGTGCGCATGGCATAGGTACAGCTGCACTGAAAAATATTGTTAGAATACCACGCTAAACATTCTGACACAAGCAATGATACTTTTTGAAATATAGTTGTTAGCAGTACGAAACTGTTGGCATCCCTGATTTTCTAACTATTCTGGGGTATTTGTGGCATATCTGAATATTGCAAGGCATATTCCATACCTTATGGAAATAAAATAATCTCACAGTGAATCCATACGAATTCCGGAACGACTATTCATGACATGAATCAGAACAAGATGAATTTGAAATAAAAAATACTAGCCCTTCTGTAACATAAGGTTCTGTTCATTATTGAATGTTGCGAGACCTCTCCTAATGATAGTTTTCTGTGTAGCTGTACATACATGCCCTCACTAGCAGCATTGGATTAAAAGTATGGGACTGGATACTATACCTGATGAAAGTAGTGGAGGAAGAGCAGCTGTGGCAGCTAAAAGTTGCAGGATAGTTAATGAAACACAACAACAAGACCAAAACTGCAGACAGCTCACTACCTGTTGCATGTAATGCCGTGACTGTCAAAAGAAGGAAACAAACAAAGACCTCATGAAACCTGTGTTTTCTGATAGCTCTTACTAACTATCGCCAAGATTGATCCTATGACCCTTCTAGTCAATCATTCTATGAGTCAAAAAGTTTTTTTCCTTGAAATTACATATACATTATTCATCTATTCATATCAATTCATCTTGGTTCAGTTACTGGTCAACATGTCTTGTGACCAAATAAGACATTGAATCAACCATTTCTAAATATTTTATCTACTGTTCATAATTTCTTTTAAATCATTTACCAAAATTTGAAAAATAAGCCTAATATAAGTGTAAATCTTCATATCAACTACTATGTCCTATATCAAATTCATATATATACTTATGCATTTGATATTTACCTCCATGATAAGATGCACAAGAGACACTTTATCATCACGGTGGAAAGAGAGGGAGCAGGGAAGGGAGTTGAGGATACGCGCAATATCTGTAGGTGAAGGTCCCTTAGATGGCGGAGGTCGCACAAATACTGGCTCTCGCATGCAAACTTGTGGATACAGTGGATCCACTGATAAGCTGAAAAATAAGAATGGCTTCAGCTGTAAAACCTGATCTATAAATATTCATAATCGTATTTTCACTTATGTGTTCATTATATTAAGGGGCAGTCACACAAGTCTATTCTGTCCAGGGATCCCAAGACAGAATGGGTTGCTTCCTAAACTATAATATAATTACTGGTAAACTAACTACTTAAAATCCTAAAAAGATATTATATCAAGTTAAAAATAATTGACCTCTTTAAACAATAAAATACATTGTATTAAACAATGATGTCACATCAACTTTTGTAGATAAAGCAGATAAATGTTCATTTGACCAACAATATAAGCATCAACCCACTCAGACACGCCAAAGACATGGAGGGCTCTTCAGAAGATATTTACGCCTTGTTGGATAGAGTGAGAGCCAAACAGCCGTTGTGGAATACCAATCTTATAGATTATAAAAGCAAGAAAAAGAATTTTAATGGATGAAATAAGCAAGGAACTTCGTCATGAACATTGTGAATGCTGGACTGAGCTGATGGTTCTCTCCGAGGTCCGAGGGGATACTCTGTGTAGTGTGACTAATCTCAGCTGTACCTGACCAGATTTCAGCAAGGCTGTCTAGGGATCATGGGACAGAGAAGACTAGTGCGACTGTCACTTTAGCCATTTTACTTGAAGAAAGAACAAAAAAGAAAAACACTCAACCTTACAGAAATACTAATTTTACACACTCTTATACTGAAATTATTTACGTAAAGAAACTATTTTGTACCTTGCATCAGCTTGCATAAAAAGGCGAATATTATCAGCATTCGCAGATGATCCCATTACCATGACCACCTCTGTGTATTCCTGCATTATGGACAACATCGCTCGAGTGGCTGGGGGTGTGCAGTCTGTGAAGAGCGACACTAACAAGGGAACATTATCCACATTTTCAAGATGTGGCTTAATGTTTTCAATTCCTTTTGGGAGTCGAGCCTGAAATATAAGATCAGTCTTGCAGTTCTTTCTGTCACTTAAATAACTTTAAAAAAATATCTCATTATCAATATTCTCATTTGAACATTCTGATGAATATACACACACACACACACTCACAATCACACACACACACACTCAACACTCACACTCAACTCACACTCTCTCACACACTCACACACACACACACACACACACACACACACACACACACACACTCACACACACACACACACACACACACACACACACACACACACACACACACACACACACACACACACACACACACACACACACACACACACACACACAATGAATCATCACCATACCCTATTTGACATATCAAAATTAAATGAGGTTGAATGCTCCGTGCTGTCAGTGACTCTTGACGGTGACCTAGACCGTGACTGGCCAGAAAGGTGCGAGTGCTGCTCACAGACAGGGTCCACGTGGTCATACATCTGGTCCTCCTCATTCAACATTATGCATTCCTCGCTGGTTCCGGCATTGCAGTCGTATGCAAACCCTTCTAGCCTGTAAATTCGACTGCCATTAATTCCAACAAACTTGATATTAGACATGTGATAAACCATAACACATCTGCCACAAATCCTGATACTAACATAATACATCTCTTATTAATTTTTTTTTTCCACTTCTGGTCCTCCAACATATATCATTTAAGAAGAAAACCTCAAGTGAGTCCCTTAGATTCACAAAAGGAACATAATATGTTAACAGAAGTCTACGTAACTAATGCCCCTCTAACTGTTCTCAATTGTCTAATTTCCTCATCTAATCCTTCAGTCTCGCTTTCATCACTTAATTTTATACTAAAGTAGAAAAAAGAAAAAAAAAACTCTCCTCCTTTCCTGTTGGCATTACATTACTGCCCTGCAAATAAAATATAATAATACAATAACCCAAATCCATGTATTATGTAAAAAAGAAAGAAAGAAAAAATTCCTTTTTCCTTTTTTTTTTTTTTTTTTCTTCTTCTTCTTCTTCTTCTTCTTCAAATTCTTTTACCTATTAGGTCTCTGAGATCATCCTTTTTCAAATCGCCTGAACACTTTTTGAGTATATAAAAAAAAAAAAAATAAAAAAAAAAAAAAATCAGAGGAACATGTCTAAAAAAAAAAAGCACATTCTTATTATCTCTTAACAGAATCATCATAAATCTAGGAAATGTAGGTAATATTTTTTAGATTTTGACTTTGTTGAAGAACTATTCTCTACATTCCTTAGATTTTTTATCAATCTACGAAATGAGCCATCATACGTTTATTTTGGACTAAATTTGCATTTGCTAGAGCTTTATGCATAAATAAGTATACTTTTGAAATAACAGTCATTGAAGATTTTCTTCTCTTTTCAACTTTTTGGTATGGACAATAAAAGGGAGAAGCATAATCTTTATCAAACATAATGGTCTATTATTTACCTGCATTCCGAAGTCTCACAGAATTAGCACGTAACAATGTCACAAAAGACTCCTGTAGGGTCCAACTGATTGGGTGATTCTCAGCATAAATTGACCACTTTTGAAAATTTCTCTAACATCCGGAAAAAAAACAGGCATTCTGATTTCATTTCTGAATAAAATATCTCATCTACTGTATGTGGAAGCACATTTTTCAATTTTGACCTTTTTTGTGTGTGTATATATGTATATATAGATATATACATATATGTATATACATATATATACAGAAATATATACACATATATATATATTTCTATCTATCTATCTATCTATCTATCTATCTATCTATCTATCTATCTATCTATCCATCTATCTATTTATCTATCTATCTATACAATGTGCACCATCAACATCAATGTGCTTTGCTTACTGATTTTGCTCTGGTGGTCAATCTAGTCCCTCAAATGTAGTGCTACACATCTGCGAAATGAATATTCTCCACAAACAAAGATGGTAAAATATGTGAATCTCTCAGTCGCTATCAGGCAGTTGTATCGAATAAAGATGTTGAGCATGTGTTTCTTATCCAATTCCCTAATTTCGGCTGTGTCACCCTCACTGGTCTCCAGCACTAAATACAGCAGTAGTCTCGCATTTCAAAGTAGACTTTAACTTGCCGAAAATAGTGAAGGAAGTGACAGAGGGCAAGCCATAAATGTCCTTTGGCCTCGAAGCAAAAACAGTTACTCAGTGCCTTTACTAGATATCTTACAGCAACTTACAGATTCACTTATAATCCCTTTATTGTATGATAAGCTCGGCAGTCAGATGTATAACACTATTTCTGGGTGTCTTACATGAATATGAGAACAGTTTCATACACTTTGTGCCACAACACATGATGGGATCCCTATGGTG